TGGATCTCTCTGGCTTCTGCAGTTTGATCCTTTTTTGTGTTGTGGTTAAAGATTAGTTTCAGCTTTTGTCTTCTCCAGATGTTAACTGATGGACTGGAGGGCTGTGGATTACTTGTGGATTATTGTGATGTTTTTATCAGCTGTTTGGACTCTCATTCTGACGGCACCCATTCACTGCAGAGCATCCATTGCTGAGACACTGATGCAATGCTACATTTCTCCAAATCTGATGAAGAAACACACTCATCCTAATCTTGGATGGCCTTTCAGCTAATGTTCATTTTCAGGTGAACTGTTCCTTTAACTCGAGTTCTCTGATGATTTTTCATGCAGATTGTAGAGAGACTGTCCTCCGTCTCCAGTGTCACGGCTTTATTTGAAGTCTCTCGGGACGGAGAAACGGATTCTTTCTCTGACCTTCTTCGGTTTCATCTTTAACCTTGATGCACCAGTTCAGATGTTGTTGATCCAGTCTGTGTGTCTGATCTTTATCGTGTTTTGTTGTGAGGGATGCAGAGCTCAAATGTGTGTTCTTTGCACGGCTTCTTGCAGCTGAAATCTTCCTGTGAGTCAGTGGAGCTTCAGAGAAAGAGTAACTGAGTTTAAAGCTGGCGTCTGTCTATGAAATAACACAAGCGCCATAATGAGCATAATTAGCTTGGCTATATTGAGGATCATTCCTGTCATCTTAGCCTTCAGTCTGAGTGTTCAAATCAGATTTTTCTGCATGTTTATCTCATTGGATTGATTGATTGATTTTTTCACTTTTATTTTTTCCCAAATTGTGTATTTTTTATTTTCATTTTTTCTGGACTTTTTTGAGTAAACGTTAGCTATGGTTCAGTTGGAAGATTTCTCCAGTGCTGTCCCGCGAACGCGAGGTCTGACTTTCCCGGAGAAGTGTCTCCTCTCTCGGCTTCTGTTCTGTGCAGTGAGCGGCAGAGAAGCACCGCAGCCACTTGGCCAGTAAATGAGTACAAAACAGCGTTTCCTAGCACCTGACGCTTACTGATTGTTTGGAATTATAAATATGAGCGTAGGTCGTCTGTTAATATTACATGCACTTTTTTTGTTTTATCTGTTTGTTACTCAGACGCAGGCAGTGCGCTGCATGAGACAAAAAGTACTATAGCCAAAACAACCGCATAGCCGCTCTTTAGTGTAAATGCATGTTGATTTTATCAGACGATGCCACGATTATAAATGAGAGAAACCGGTATAATTTAGAAAAATACCGTGATACACATTTTTGGTCATACCGCCCAGCACTAGGAGCACCCCTAGTTAGATGAGTAAATAAATCCACACAAACCATCAGATGAAAACAGGTCGAGAGGTTCAGCTGTACCGCGTCCTCTGTCTTTGACCTTCTCTTCACATAGACGCATCTAGAGCTGCTGCACGCTGCGATACAAGACTTTAGCTCGTGTTTCAGTACAGTTGACAGAATTGTCACTTGCCTAATCGGTCATTGTTGCATCGTCACAAAAATGTATTATTTTCACGTCTTATAAAGCCATTCGGTGCTCGCGCTCTCCAGAGGCACTTTTCTGTGCGCTCAGTCACATCCAAAGCGCGCGCTGCGGTCAAATTGAGTTTGTTGCGCTTAAGTGGCCAAATACACACAAAATGACGTCAA